GTACCCCTGTATTGGAGCCTCTGCAGTCGAATACCCACGGATAACTCCTGTAGTTTAAGGTTATAAATCGTGAAACCACATATCCGTATATAGTAATGCCATGCCTTTTTGTTTTCATGAGTAACCCCGCTCATCGCAGTTTACATCTCTGCAGGAATTGGTGGTGCAGAAAGGAGGCTTTGCAGAGTACACGTCACCCAGGCAGTCTTGGTCCAGCACACCGCAAGGAGTCACCAATGACTCGCCAGAGTCGACGAGATTTGTGGAAAGTCGGTAATACCTGCAAACGTGCGCTTTTACAGGGTGTAGAGTAACTACCTGACCTCATTGACCTTTACTTGGCAAGCACTGCATTTACAAGAGCATTATACCAGGCAATTGCAACAGCCCAGCACCAGCTGCCTGTAAGTAGATTCTACTCCCAACATGAAATAACTCTCATGTTCCTTTATAGGAAGATGGAAACCTCCAAGAAGCTTCCGCAAAGAGAAACCCCGCAGCGGCTAAGAATGTGCTATCTCGCGTATACACGATGTCCGCCGGTCGACCTGAGAACCACCAAGCGAAGCTGAGGTCGAGAGGACATTCGTTCAACATGGTTGAGAAACTAAACTTTCTCTGTGCCCCATTTTGTCACAAGGTTTGTGAAAACATTTTGCAGGAAAGAACTCCACACACGCTCTGCATAACATGTAATCATTGTATTTGTGCTTACCAATGCTTCAACTTTCATTTATTAATCTCTTCCATTGTGTGACGCAGAACACAGTAAGGACATGATGCCCATCCCCTTTTCCTTACTGCTTCATCACATCTTAATAGTGTTTATTAGCTACTATGAATTTCCACCTGCACACAACACGCACATGGGGAGCAAAGCTGATACGGGCAAAAGTAAAGGCTTCGGCTGTAACAGCTCGGTGGGACTCGCTGCGTAAACTCTGTCTGGAGAGAAATCTCCACACCGCGCAACGCCTCTGGGCGCATGCCCACTCCCACTTCTGCTCTCTGCTCAACGACCTGCTCTGGAGCAGCTGGCGTCGACATAAGCCTACCTGGATCTAGGTGAGTTCCAGCAGGGATCCATTATAGCATTCTTCCAAGCACCACATGTGAGTAAAGGGAAGACTACAATAAGTTTAACACTGAAAGGTTACAAAGAATGTGGAGTCTATTCATGGGTAGTTTGTGTGTATGCCAGATCTGTCCGTTCCCCGAATTAGCCCTGGTAATCCGCGACTATGACAGTGTCAAATATGCTGAAGACGGCCAAATCTAAATCTCTCCGTCAAAGTGTGCACCGGTCAAAATAATTGTCACCTTAGCGCAATACCGCATCAGTCTGCGACACTTGCGCCACTGATTGGGAAAACAAGAAGAGTATGTGCAGAGAAGAATAGTCAATTCAATGTCTATACACGTAATCGCGGCAGAAGGAGATGTCCTGTATGGGTTGATTGTGCGTTGATCTGTTGGTAATGCCTCAGGGTTCCGGTGGGCATGTAAACAAATGCATAATGCTGCGCTATACTTTGCGGCCTCACCCAGTTGCATAGCGACACTTATTGTTTAGGTGTCTTTTAATAAGCAGGTAGTCATATCATTAGCTAGAACTAGCTGGATCTGATCGATATGGACATAAACGCGAGTGAAGTCTAATCTGACGGGAGAGAGAGATCAGCTGCTGCTGACGAGTCGACACGCAGCTCTGCATGATCACATGCAGCGGTGAGTGGACAAAACACACACCTCAGGTTAGAATATCACACGTAGCTATTTTAATTACCTCTCAAACTACCTAAACTAGTTATAGATATGTTTAGTTTCACTGTCGGGTCACTCATTACTGATCCGCGAGCTGCATGATACTGACGGGCTGTCAGGAGAGGGAGAGGGCGCTCCGTTTATTATTCCCGTGTTATTGTAAGTTACTGTTCACTTTTGAATAATGTAGTTAATCTACTATAATTAGTTTGTTTAATATCGAATCATATCAATTAGTTTTAAAGCTCAATAAATAACAAAGAAGACCTTTGACCGGCACTTTTCAAATTTTGTCCGGAAGATTTAAACTTTAACGGACATGTTGACCGGCGAAGAAATATTCTAACGGGAACTCTGGTGTATGCATTTAAAGTTGCATTTTAGTAAGGAGCATAAACATAATGAATTTGTTGAGCTAACACTGCATATGATAACACCATCTGCACAAACTAAGACTTGCCAAACATTATGGGAACATAGTGATGCTGTGTGGTTACTATTACTGCCATCAGATATAGAGGAAGTAACCCTCAGCTGCATGTTGTCACAGTTTTTACCGGTGAGACATTTTCATCTGTGTACAGCGCTTCACAGAAGGACAATAATTTTAAGCTGATGGGGGAAAAAATCAGTAGTTGTAGTTTAATACTTGATTTCAGAGTATGTGATGATCAAATACAAAAAGTATGAGACCCTATCTAAAGTAAAGCTAGTTTCTGGGTTTCGTTATTATTACGTTATACATTTGGTCAGTGAAATATTTAGTAACGAAGGGTTGTAACTGAAATACCTAATCACACTTATAATGGAGAACTGAATATGTCTCAATGAAATGCAACTGAAATATACTGTAGTGCAGACCTAGGGTCCTTATCAGATGTGGAGCATTACCATCACCTTTGACGAGAAATTCTGTCTTTTAACTTTAACTGACGTATCTAAAGCAGCATTGACGTTGTAAAAGTATCTGAATCAAAATCTTGCTTTAGAAAATGTATCTTTTAAAAATACTTTACTTAACCTCCTTTTTATTTGCGTTTTTGTTTCAGAAGAGCGCAGTCTGAGCGGCCTGTGCCAGTGTCTAGTGGAGCTTTCCACTCAGCCAATCACAGTGTGCCATGGCTTCGCTCAGAGCATAGATGCAGCCCGAGCCAATGCAGCCCACAATGCACTGCAGTACCTCAAAATTATGGCCGGGGGAAAGTGATGTCGTCTTCCTCCTCACAGACTCGAACTCACCACCACACGGCGGCACTTTTGTGATGAGTTCAAATAACGTGAATTACCTCAATTGTGGATTATATAAGAGACTTTTTTCCGTCCCCAAATTAACCCCAAGGACATGTTTTGGTCACATGGATTTCTCATCGTTGCCAATGAAGATATAGCTGCCCAGAAACTCATACCAAAAACTCATACCTCTCTCTTTGACATTTTGCATATCTGTCAGAAATTCTTTTAAAATGCTTTTTTGGTATTTTCTTTGGTTTGCCCAGCATCCATACTCGGCACTCTATTTCCCTAAAAAGCTCAAGTCTAAAAAGTATTCATCTAAAGTGACACCTGCTGCATACATACATACATTCATACATACAAGTTCCTTAATACCTGCAGATATATTCTGATTTTACAAACAATGCAAATGGAGTTGAAACTGGGTGATGGAATTACCAAATACTGGTGCTGCGTTAAAACCACAATCATTGGTTGGTGAATAGAAGAAAACATGGAAACATGGAGAGAAAAGGACGGCCCTGTTTTCAGATGAACTTAATGAGATGATGTGGCCTTTTAATTGTTGTATATTCAATCCAGCTCTAAAACAGTTGGATGATCCTCATGCTGGGCCGGATTAGAAAATTGAAAACGTATCATAGTATCTCTGTTTAACAACTAGATTTGGCAAATAAACCTTTCTAATCGTGTTCCTAAAATAGAAATGGTGAGAAAGATCAGTATGACTGAAACATATGGATGGAAGAATTGCCCCTTTTTAAACACTAACTTAAAAAAGTAAGGCTCATATTTATTAGGTCCGGAGCAGGAATAGAGAAAGTAATGTCTTTTAATTATGAGGAAAACTCTTAAAAATATCTCTACAACATTGAAATGACGTCACAATCTACTCATTGTGTAAAGTGTAATTACCTCAGCTTTAAGACTTCTTTAAAACACAGTCTTTGCTTGTCTTCAGTGTAAGACAATGATGAATTAATACATCGGTTGAAGGGAGGGGAAAGTACAAAGTCCTCTGACAAAGCTTGTAATTTTCAATATCATAGACCAGTCAAACAAGCTATAATATTTTGTTCTGTTAAGTTTAAATGTGTCTTTGCTCATCATGCCTGGCACTGTTTCATTTATCATTTAAACCCACTGTGATTTAGCTTTTTTTGTCAATGGGAATATGAATCCTGTGATATTGGAAAGTTGATCATGGTGGAATTTGGAAATATTCTTCTCCAACTACATGCTGTGTCTTGTAAAGTGTTGTTCATTACCATGCACCTTGCTGTATTTGTTTTGATATACTGCCTTGCACTCGGCTGGAATGAGTTTTGAGTATAGTGAACCGTTTGCACTACTTGACAAGCACAGTTTCCTTACTCCTCCCACCGGTGCAGTTCATGTGAACCTCATTCTCTGAAAAAAGGCAGATCTGCATCTTGTTTTCTGATCATTCAAATAAGGAACTTGTGCTGTTTTTTAGTGAGTTTTAGTACTCCCACCATTGAAGTCTGTACTGACCTCATTACATTTGAGAAGAACTTCTTTGTTGTGGTAGAAAAAGTTGCCCAGTTTTAGCTAAACGATGAATTATAATGTGAGATCCATGTGAAATCGACTTATTTCCAATAAAACATTTTGTACATTTTACTGCCAACTGTTGCTGTTACAACTTGAGCATGCTGCCGTTCCTAATTCAATTAATTAATTTCATCAAACCCTTTGAACTACAATAGTTTTATTGTTACTTATTTACAGTCTGTATGAGCACTGGGGAGAAACTTAATGATTTGCATGTCCGGAAGTCTTATTGTGAAAAATATTCTCTCAATTAACTACATTTTTTACAGAATCATCACATCTTAAGCCTCTGTTTAGAAACAACATTTGGTGCAGGAAATAGTCGACGTTTTTTTCCTTCATCTGTTATGTGTGTTTGATGAGGGGCTAACTTCTTCATCTGCATAGCCGCTGCTGTCTGACTGCATGCTGTCGCCCCGGACCATCTCACCTACACGAGGAGGGACACAAACACAGTCAGGCAACAACTCCATGCAGTGAACCACTGCACAGAAAACAGCTGCAGTCTGACCTGAATCCACACACAAACGGTATGTTCCAGGTGACAAAAACACCTGCACATTGACATGCATACACAAATGCTTTCATTGCCCTCACATCTTATTTTAATATCTATATTATGACTTTATAAGGACTTTACATGCCCAATTCCCTCAAATGTAAGGACCCAAAACAATATATCTAATGAGACAAAGTTCAAAGTGTTAGAACCTTTATTCATTAGAATTTTAAGTCCTTTTTCAATAGATTTGTGAAAGCTATTTGTTTCCTCACATCATGTTGGACCTTGTTAAAAGATCTACAGTCAGTGACAATATTGAAGTTTAGCAGTATGTTTACACAAACAACTATCTTTCTGCCACAAATCTGGTGTTAACCTGTCATAGGTTGGACTGAAAACTCCTTTATCTACGGTTTAGAAATGTTTGAACTGTGTATGATTAAAAGCCGTTTTAGTTGTGGATGGGGTTCAAACATTGCCACACACCACTTCTTATGACTACAATGTTCAAATGTGTTGCCCATGTTTTACTTGTTAGTCCATTTCTGTGAAAAAAATTGAGCAGGAAAAGAATGTTGGCAGACTTCATGCCGATAAATCTAGTTTCCCTGTTCCTGTTTTAAATAAATGACCTACCTATGACCTGTGCTTGTATAAAAAAAACATTCCATTCACACAAAAATAATTATTAATATACCTTTAGACGACAGGGGGGTTGTTGTCGTCGTTTCAGATTTAACAAAATCTTCCTCTCCTGCACTATGCACCTGTAGAGTCAACAGGCAAACAGTTAGTATTATTTCCTGAATGTATACCATGAAACACTATTAGGCCTGACCAATGTCTTCTTTTATTATCCACATCACAATGGCTGATGGTGGTACAATAACTAATCCAATTTCACTAAAACAATATTGTGTATTGTAACAGTGTTCATTTGTTCATTCATAATCTTACAGTTCATCTGTCTGATTAAAACATGATGTCCTTTAGCTTGATATAATTCAATGCAGTTGCAAAGTTGAGTGACCATGGCAATTGTCATATTTTCTTATAAATACAACTAATTTAAATACAACAAACACTTAAAGGTCCCCTATTATACTGTTTTTCATCAATATATTATAGTTCTGTTATATACAAAATATGTCTCTGAAGTGTTTGGCTTGAAATACCAAACAGATCATTGCAGCATCCCATAAACCCCCCTGTTTCAAAAGTGCTGATTCTGTGTCTGTTACTTTAGATGAAAATAAGGAGCCACTCCCCCACACCCCTCTGAGAGATATTTGGTTAAAAAGAACACAATGGTGCTCTAGGAGGAGAATCTGGTGATAAGGGGGGAGGGGGTTACCTTGGTTGGTTATTGGCTAATGGTTACACAAGACAAAACAATGTTATGACATCATATAGTGGCCAAAATCTGATCAGCTCATTTTCAGTTTTTATATAAATGGATCAGGACAAAAAGTGAGAGAATCTTTTTTCCTGAAACTTTCAGAATGTCTTTACACAGAGGGGACACATGTTGATGTATAAAATACCTGGAAAAGTGGATTTTGCATAATAAGCGACCTTTGATCTGGAGAAATGTTGTAACTTTTCTTTTTAATACTTAATTTTCTGAAAATAATAAATATTCTATTCAAGAGACAGTACCTCCTCCAGCTCGAAGGAGTTGACCTGTTGCAGGGGGTTGGAGTCGTGCCCCAGGATGTGACGAGTCAGGGGATTCAGGTACTGGCTTCTCCCCTTGATAAATGACTCCTCACATTTCTGCAGAGGCATTACAGTAGAAGCATGACCGGCATCTGTTGCATTTGAGGAATGAGGAGAGATGCCGCCCCCCTCCCAGCCCGTCACAGTGATGCAGCACTGGGTGGGGTCTCCGTAGGGGGCCAGGACAGGAAGTGATCCAGGTGCATGAGTCTGTCTGGTGTCAGGCTCAGGGATAGAGATTTGTATATCAGGTTCATGAGATCCATCTATGCTTACTTTCTCAGAGGAGATACAAGTGTTTGTTTTTGGAATCATTGTCTGTTGACAGCAGAAAGGCGCCTGGTGTACACTCTCAACTATCTGCGGGCAGATTAGATCGTACGTCAACTTGGCAACTGGTTTCAGATCAGCAGTGCCAGTCTCTCTTTGAGATGCACATGAGTCCAGCTCGGTTTCTATCACAGTTTCTCCTGATACCGATGACGCTAGAGATGTTACACTGTGAGTCCTGCTGTCAAGGTCTGCTGCTCTGAAACTGTTTTCATCTGCATCAACATCATCTGTTTGTTTGCAGCCCTGCATCTTATGACAGGTTGTATTTCCATTTTGAAGAATGTCTTCATCCTCCATGCTCTGCTGTGTTTGCGCATCTTTCCCACTGTCACAGGATGTATCCCCATCCATAAGCAGCCTGACATCCAAGTCATAATCCCCCAAATCCAGTTTCTTTGTAGCCCCACTCTTGTGTTTCTCCAGGACTATACCCACAACATCAGGGAGGCTGGCCCTTTTCCTGGGTGAGGGCTGTGGAGAGGTGGAGTCTGACCCTCGAGGAGAGCCTGTGTAGAGACACATCTTGGAGACGGTGTCCTTCAGCCGCTCCACCGGAGAGCGCACCTCGCTGCGGATGCTGCCTCTGAAGCGCTCGATCTTCTCCACAGGAGACGAGGAGAAGGTGAACTCTGGTGTGGCCAGTTTCTGCAGAGGAGTGCGGGACACGTGAGAGTAGAGGGAGTAGAAAGCGTTGGCCATTGCTGTGAGGACTTGCACTTGTCGGAAACGACCTGGAGTAGGAATAAAATGCAAATTAAAACATAGTTATATGGATGTCATTTGCCACGATTTTCTTCACCTTATCACATGCCAACACAAATATACAATCGAGTGACAGAGGTAACCAACAGCAGTGATTTAATAACTCAATGGTCTTACTAGCAAGAGAGAGGCTTGGGTCTTCCTCTCGTATCCGCCGTATCTGAGAGTCCAGGAAAACCCGGAAGTTGATGCCCCGAGACAGAGAAGGAAAGTTTAAGAAGCGAGGAGGGATGCGGACAGTGACCTGAGGCTCGTCACAGCCAAAGCCCAGTTCGTACAGCGTCTCCTCCGCATCCTCAGCACACAGCTGCAGGACCTCTGAGATACTAGAGCGCATGTGAGGAAAAAGGATAAATCAAGTTATATCCCAGTAAAAAGGATTTTGTAAAGCCTTTTGAGGCACATTTTTGAAAAATACAAGCATGTGTAATGCTCATTGAGAGTAACAAAGTGCTTTAGAAAAGGTTTGGGACCGTTAAATACAAATGAAAACAATAAATGAAAAGTATCAAATTACATAGAATAAATATGATATGCAAATGTTTATTGAAGTGTAAACAGAGATGAAAAAGATTGACGTTAAGGAGTAAAATATATTTGTAAAGCTTCACTAGGTCATTCAAAAGCAAAGTGCTGAGTTATTGGTCCTCAGAAGTCTCACCTCGATGTAGTTTTAAAGGTGGAGGAGGAGAGGCAGCTGGAGGCCATGCTGTGGCCCAAGTTTAGTTTCAGCAGACATTGTTCCTTACGAGGGGTACTGTGGACAAGACATGAGTAGAGACATCTAGTATTAATCTTAATAATATCTTAATATTCTGATATGTTTATATTGAGGTAGAAATGTTCCACTGACCTGGTGAGTCTGCCGGGACCTGGTTTGGAAGAAGGATGCTGTGCGAGGCTTCATGGTCAGTGGAGATTGAGGAAAAGTCAAAAAATCCATTAACCTAGTGTTTATTTAGTAAAGATAGTCAGATTTTAATAGATCTTTATAGCCCAGTAACACAAATGTGTCTCAAATAATATTTCAAAACTGAAAAAAAGAGTCCATACAATGGAGCATGAGAGCATTGTCATTCACACCTCTTGATCATTTCAATAGAAACAGACCCAGTATGCAAAATAAGAAAGAAAACAGCGGTTGTTGGGGTGGGGGTGTTGAACTGAACATACATGTTTTATAGAGGTGTAGCTCATAATGTCTATATAAAACTCACTAAAATGTGAGAAATATCTTAGACAATAATCTCCTTTATTTTGTTCTTCTGCAGAAAATAGGAACATTTAATTAAAAATATAGAATGACCTCTGTCCGTTTAATGATTAAAGCACCATGGATACTCATTATCTAATCTTCACTAATTAATTAGCGCGGCAGTCCACTTTTCTTGTTGTTTCATTGTCCCTGATACTACAGCTGCTACTTACCAAGCTTTAGATGATATCTCCCCACCATTTAACAAAGACGCTGAAACAAAAAATAAACACATTTTGATTAAAAAGGAATATGTTGATATTGAGTGTTTCACAATTTAACCCTGAAATGTAGGTTAACATCACAGCACACAATTCATCAATTTGTAACTAATCATGTGGACAGGCTGCTTAAGAAATCAAAACGTTATTGTACCAGAAAGTCAATAAAGGACTGAGTCATATTAATGTTAAGTAGATTAAGTACATTATGTGTATTCCTTTTTAGTTTGGTAACACCTCAAATAAAACTATATACTTCCCCTTCAAACAAAAACATCCTCCTTGGCAGAGTTACAGCCATACTGGGTAACTCTGGACATTTCTCTGACTGTGTGTCTTCATAAATATGTAGAACACATGTAAGCTTTATAAGAAATCAAACAAACATGGTGTGTGTGTGTGTGTGTGTGTGTGTGTGTGTGTGTGTGTGTGTGTGTGTGTGTGTGTGTGTGTGTGTGTGTGTGTGTGTGTACTTACCATCAGCACCAAGATTGAGTTCATCGTCACAGTTCCTGGCTTTCAGCAAAGAGTCTAGAAGAAAAAGCAGTCAATAACTAAAATAACTAGTAGTTACACAAACGGCCAAATTCCTGTTTTGAAATCTTGCTCATATGTTTCAATAGTGTAATATTTTATATTACTAAGTACTTTACAAATGTGAGGTTTTAATAGTTACATTGAATGTAACTTTATACTTTAACGTCACTAGCATTCAAATGGAAATATTATTTTTATTCCACTATAGTGATAGGCCATTTCCATTACAACATACTTATTGATTAAGATGTTATACCCAAATCATAAAACAAAATTAACAGAACATGATCACTTTTATGACTTCAACTGCCCAACAGTAGATACAATCATAAAATGATCTCCAGTTAACCAGCTACAACGGTAAAATGCTTATAATAATACAATATTACAACAATCAGAGGCCATTTAATTCTGAATTATTGTTGAACCATCACTTTAAGTCCATTCACTGATAAAACTTTTACTAGTGAAATTTGTTAACAAACAAAGGACATTGATATTCATTTGTTTAAGGTCATACTCACCAAAACTCAGCTGATCCGTGGTCTCTGAGCAGGCCTCTGCCCTGTAATTGAAATCCCAACAATAATGCATGAATACACAGGCAGTGTAATTTGCATGCTTCTTCTGTGAAATAATTCACTGAATTTCCATAGAGGGAATGTGGAGTGTGATAGCAGCCTAGCTACAGAACACACAGTGACATCGACTCCCTGCTCAGCTCGCAACAGGCGGCCGGCATTTGTCAACTTCCTCTTTCAGACATGTTGACACGCTGAGCGGCGTTATGGTCTACACCCGACAGATCTGGTCATTTTCATGTTGACTTCTCAGAATGCATAAACCACTCCTTTTACTTGTTTTGGCATAAGTCATGTTTTAGACACTGACACGCTTTGTCACATATCTGACAGACAGCTTCCTTCTTGGTGATTGAAATAAGAGACATGAAACAATGTGTGTGTGTNTTTTTGTTTACTTAGTTGTGTTCTCTGTATTTTATATGTCCGTGTTATGTGTAAGAACGTGTAACGTTGCTGCCTTCTTGGCCAGGTCAGCATTTTAAATGAGAATTTAAAATGCTGACCTGGCCAAGAAGGCAGCAACGTTACACGTTCTTACACATAACACGGACATATAAAATACAGAGAACACAACTAAGTAAACAAAAAGACGAAAAGCAGTCACTACATTGTGCACATTTGGGACAGTAAGGTACAATACTTGTTACTGCGAGAGCAGCTGGTGGTAAGGGGCGCCACCAGGGATTTTGGGCCCCATGAAAATATATCAAATTGGGTACCCCCACCATCAGGCCCAGGCCACGCCAACCAAGCACAATTGCGAACCACACCTCCAGAACCCAACCCACTCATTTATGCTTTAAATAACTCCACCTGTACAGGCTTGCATCTATCTTGTAGTCCAATACTAACCGCACAATATTTACTGACACTGAGCTGTGAAAATATAACACTGTGCAGACGTGCAACATTCTGCTGCAATATAATTCACTATTTGATATAAGACTAACATTCCTGACAATNGTGTGGAAGTGGTGTCGTCCGGGCTGACTCTTATGTAATCCTGACTTATTACTGAAGCTATAATGTATGTTCCAAGTACACTACACATGTTTATGTTTACTCGTAAGTTTGAAAAATAAGTTGGTTGTAAAATAAATTTTATACAAAAAAAGTTGGTTGATAAGGATATATTTACGATTTCTTGAACCTTTTTAGAGTGATAAAATGTTATAACTTGTAGTCTTGACGAGTTGGTCTTGAGAAGTCCCATTGTACAGTTCCTAGAAACACGACAGAAGTTTTTGGCACACCAGACCGGACGGATATTCTACCGCCCACTACACACGTACCGACGACACATCCAGCTCCACATCGTCAACGATGCTCTGGAAGGTGCTCTGGAGGAACGACCGACCAACTTCCACTACCGTACAACGCACCTCGGAAACACGACTCCCAACATAGAAACGGACCCACCGTGTGTCTCCTCACCTCGTCGACATCACTACGATCCAGAAACCACACTACCGCAGACCACTCTTGGGAACTCGGGGTGCTATTAGCACTCGGACCCCCCCCCCCAGCCAGCCCAAGCGCCAGCAGAGCTAGCCAGCCAGCCGCCCAGCCAAGCCCAAGCCAGCCAGAGAGCAGAGAGAGAGAGAGTAGAGAGGAGAGAGTAAGAGAGAGAGAGGAGAGAGAGAGAGAGAAGAGAGACGAGAGAGGAGAGAGAAGAGCAGAGAGAGAGGTACAAAGTTGATAAGGAAAAGAGACCAACTCATCAAATAGCAGAAAACACGTAGTCAAAGTGGCTGAAAACAGCAAAAAAGCCACACACAACCAACGTGACCACTTAACACAACAGATTAACAACAGATCGCCCCCCCGGACGTCACGCTCAGTGCGGCGGGCGTACCGCGCAGAGCACCGGGTCGCGGGCGACAAACATTGACTGAGCGGTTGGCGGGGTGAGTTCGAGAGGTGACAGCGCACAGCCACCCTCCATCAACACAGACCGGACACCCCCGACACCATCCCCTATACGTCTCAATCTTAGATGGAGGACGGTAACTTGTCACTCACCAATAAAAAAAATCTGACGTGCCTCTTTCATTGGTCGACTCTCGCCGATCACTAATTTCCTGCGACAATGGGCACGATGGGAACAGTGAGTTCGATTTTTTCATTAAGTAGACGACTTACAATGTGGGCACAAGACTTTTGCTCAACCAACCTGAAACTCTCTCGACCGAACTGTGCCCGTCGGAAACGGGCAGAAGGGTAATTCACTAGGGGGACGCCGACATTCGTAGGGGTGTCGGAGTCGGTGCAACACACGAAAATCCGTCTGTCCACGGAATACCGGACTTCTTCCTACTCGCCCTTCGAATTAGACCGAGAGTTCAAATTTTACCCTACTAAAAACCATAATGCACAGGTACAAGTGCAGACTGTCAAAACTCTACATACCAACACCCTTCGCGTCGCATGGGAAACGGCGCGAACTCGGGCCTCTCCTCCGCCACTGCGTGGGCCACCGAAACAGGCCGCGAGCCGTCGGCTGCCGGGATGGGACGGGCGGCCGCTCTCGGCGTACGCCAACGGAACAGGTGCCGCCCGGCGCCACGGTCCCAGGCGCGGGGCACGCGGCACCGGCGACGTCCAGGAAAACAGGTGCCGGCCCGCGGCCGACGACCCGCAGGCCGCGGCCACGACCGCCAGTCGCCGGGCGCCGCTCGGCGAACGGTCCCAGGATAAACAGGCTGCGGCCCGGCGGCCCACGAGCCCCAGGGCCGCGGGCACGCGCCTCGGCGACCCGGCCAACGAAACGAGGTGCCGGCCCGGCGCGGGCGACCGGCGGTCAACCACGCCTTGGCGTCCAGTCAGCCAGGCGACCGTCTCGGTTTGCCAAAGTGCCATCTTTCGTGTGTCCGTCCCGGCTTGTGTGTCATAGTGTGTGTGTCCTGTGAGTCCAGTTTGTCTTTCTGTCTATCACTCGTGTGAGGCGGTCTCACCCGGCGACTCAGACCAAGATCTCGCTACACCATTACCCCTACTCCTAAAACGATTGCCCAATGGACAATTTTCCTTTGCTTGTTCGCACTCGTTTCCCTTCACACCGAGTTTCCTTCGCCTTCCACAGTTTGCTCCCCTCAGCGACGACAAGGGACGGAGAGTCGGTCTCCCTCAGAGTCTCGCTGAGTCTCCTGTCACTGTCACTCAGTAAGAAACTGTAGCAACTCCATCGTTTCCGCTCTCCTCATGAGAGAGGTCTCGCAGTCTAGGAAAGAACCGCCGCTTGATTCCCGCACGACTACCCCCCGACTTTAATTACTAAAAAAAATGACTAAACGTCTAGGAAAGTGTTAAGACGGAAGAGGTCACGCGCGCGTTCTTTCGGAATCCCCTTGGAAAGAAGTCGCCGGTCTCAATTCCGAGCCCCATTTCTTCTATGAAGTCTCTAAATCTCTCCTTTGACGGTCTTCTTTCTACTTGATTTCATGTAGAACGCAAAAATAAAAATAAAAAATAAAAAAAGAAGTACGGTCCAAAAACTAAAACAATCCTACGTTGATATTAAAGTATTACTCACGTATTTCTACCCGAGAATTTGTAATTGTCACGAGCACCCGCTACGGATTCCTCTCGTGAAAATAAAAGAAATAACTCTTTGTTCCTCAAATTTAACACCTGCAAAGAGGTCCGTTTGAAGTGTCAAATGACGACTCTTGCCTCTCACTACCTCCTCCGCGCTTACCCCCCCGCCCCTCCCCGGAAGAAGCCGTATCGCGTCGGGTTATCACCTCCCCAACGGGTAAGAGAAAACGCTCCCCGACAATGTGGGAAAGAGGACATGCCAGCTACTCCCGAGTAGGGTCCTGTGAACGGAGTTTATTTACGACGTTAACGTTTACATTTTATACAAATAATTTCATAAATACGGAGGGTCGACGACCCGGCGGCCTCTCCGAAAACAAAAAACTCTTTGACTTCTGTGTGAGAATCGGTTGGAACACTATCACTCCCTCATGACAAAGGACCCCCCCGACTGAGTGCGATCGCGTCCTTGCGGGACACTAACCTATCCTTGGTGGTCCTTGGCGACGACGGGAGCTTCTCCAGCCGCAATTATTCTACTTGTCTGTTCGAAACGTCGACACACTACAAACCTCCGTGAAGGGGCCCGGAGCCCGTCCATTGTCGCACCCGCACGGTGAGAATCGCCTATTGACAACAGACGACCGATCCCCGACGCTTAAGCACAATGATACTAAAAACTTTAGTAGCGTAATTACGATCTCGGTCTTCGACGAGTTAGTCAGGCGTCACCCTTAGAGACTGGTAAGGGAGCATTGTTCAGAGTCCAAAAAGTCAACTTACGTACAATCTTACACCATTATCGACGCATAAACGTGAAAATTTACGAAAGAAGACAACCGGCTGTTGGACAAATTTTTTACAAAAATTTAATAAAGCGACCCTTTGATGGCAACAGCATAGGATTCTCACTCATGCTTAAGAGAAGTCGTCACCACCCTACATCCAATTTCACTTCGAGTCGTCGACACCGGATGCTCGCATGTGTAAAGTTACAGTGTTTCTGTACCGTCTTATCGAGACGACTTCTCGAGCACCCCTCCTCTCTTCACCACCTCGACGTCGCCTAAACCGTCCCTGGCAGGGTGTCCGTCTCGCTCCTTGTACAACTTTCAAAAGTTTCATTTTTGAGTCGGAGACAGAACTGGACGACCCCCGAAAAGACGAAGTCCTCACGAGACGCAGGCTAAGGCCAAAGATCTATGTTAGCGACTTTGTACCTACGAGGGAGAGTAAAAGAAACCAAGATCTCGCATCTTACGCAGTCTCCTCCACGTACGTGAGGGAACGGCTAGGTTACGACCGTCGACGGGAAGTCCTCAGGCGGCGTAAGCAGTCACAACGGACACCTCACACAGATGTTTCTCGAGATGTTTGTCTCAAGGTCCGGCTCGGTCCTACACCAACGCGTCAGCAAGATACTCCCCGGAAGGGTTGCAGGACCTCTCCTGGCTGATAACGACTCGACCTCCGCCTCGAGAGACGGGTCCTCGACGGTCCTCCGGGACGTCTCGTACGTCCTCACCCTTCCGAGGACCGTATCTGCCGGGGAACGAGGTCTGAAGATATTCCGGAGAGACCCGGCACATAATCCACTGCTGGAGCGACCCTCACACGGAGCCTCTGT